AATACAGGCTGAAATCTTTGTGACCTTAGATTAGGTAATGTTTTCTTAGATATGACACCAAAAACATAAGCAACAACAAAAAAGATACATTAGACTTCATCAAAATTAAAAACTTTTATGCTTCAAAGGACAGCATTAAGAAAGTGTGAAAAGGGCCGGCCCAGTGGCTCAGTTGGTTAAGACTTGGCTTGGGAGCGTGAGCTCTGAGCAGCAGGGCCGCTGGTTCAGATACCACATGGGTCAATGACGCTGCGCCCTCTACAGCTAAGATGGTGAACAACAGCTCGACCTGGAGCTGGGCTGCTGTGAGTGGCTGGTGACTGTGTAGGCTGCAGTGGGCTGCAGTGAACTACTATGAGTGGCTGGCAGCCATTGTGAGTGCCCGGCAGCTGGCAGCCGGTAGCCAGCGAGAGCTGCCATGAGCTGCAATAAGCGGACGTCCAATGGCCAGCAACCAACTGCCTCAGCCAGGAACAGCACAATGATCACAATACTAACATGGCCCAGTGAAGTGACATCCTCCACAACTAGACTGAAGAACAAAAGGACAGCAACTTGTCTGTTCCCCTTCCCCATGCCCCAACGCTGTTCCCCTCCCCCAAATCCCTAATAAAATCTTTAAAAAAATGAAAGAATGTGTGAAAACTCAACACAGAATAGAAGAACATACTTGCAAATCATATATCTGATAAGGGACTCCTATCTAGAATATATAAAGAACTTTTATAACTCAATGATAAAAAGAGAAAGGACTCAATTAGAACATGGACAAAGGATCTGAATAGACATTTCTCCCAAGAAGATGTACAAATGGCCAATATGTACATAAAAAATGCTCATCATTAGTCATCAGGAAAATGCAAATTAAAACCACAGTGAGATCCCACTAGGATAGTTGTAAAAAAAAGTTGGACAAAAACAAGCGTTAGGATGTGGAGAAATTGAAACCTTTATACACGGCAGGTGGATTGTAAAATGGTGCAGCCACTTTGGGAAACATTCTGGTAGTTTATCCAAAGGTTAAACATAGAGTTATCATATGACCTAGCAATTCCACTTCTTGGCATATTCCCAAGAGAAATGAAAACATGTACATGAGTGTTTGCAGTAGCATTATTTATAATAACTAAAAAGTGGAACCAACCTGAATGTCTACCAACTGATGAATGAATATACAAAATGTGGTATAGCCCAACAATGGCATATTGGTCCACAGCAAGGAATGAAGTACTGATACATGCTCGCTACATGAATGAACCTTGAAAACACTATGTTAAGTGAAAGAAGCCACACACAAAGAACCAAATATTGCATGATTTCATCTACATCAAATGCCCAGAATAGGCAAATTTGGGGAGCTAGAAAGTAGATTAGCGATTGCCAGAGCTTGGAGGTGTGGGAGGTTTGGGGGTGACTACTAAAATATCTGGGATTTCTTTTTTGGAGAAATGAAAATATTCCAAATTAATTGTGGTAACGATTGCACAACTCTGTGAATATATGAAAAAACAATGAATTGTACATTTTATGTGGGTGGATTATATGGTATGTGTATAATATCTCAATAAATCTATTACCAAAAACAACGAAACAAACAAAAAAATCCCATGCTCTTTGAATACACTGTGTCCCCCATTTGACGTTTATCATAGAATACCTTGCCTTGTGGTTATTTTTTTCCAGTCAAAATGTTATTTCATACTCCTCAAATAGTGATGACCTTTGAATTATGGGGTTTCTTCATTATATTTTTCAAATTTCCCCCCGTAGACATATATTACATTTATATTTGAAAACATTATACAGAAATGAAAATGTCATTTCATGAACAAAATTATTAGATCCTAAAGGGAAAAGTCTCTGTCGCTTTGTGGATTCTTCTGCTGCTAGTACAATTTCTTATACATAGTAGGTGCTTAAACAATGATATGTAAAAAATATTGATAATGGCATTAGGGTTGAATTCTACTATGGTGTAAGTCTTTGGGTCTTTGGTAACCTACATGAATTTTACTGTTAATAGATTCAGAAAAAGCTATGTTACTTTGTGATTATAAACCTTAGAAGCCATAAGTATTTTCACTGAAAGACAAAAGTGTTTTAGTTTGCATACCAATTTTGATAGCAGATATTGTAGAGATATCATAGATTTAATCTTTTTTTAAATGATTTTTTTAAAGTGTGCTTTTCCAGGACCCATCAGCTCCAAGTCAAGTATTTGTTTCAATCTAATTGAGGGCGCAGCTCACAGTGGCCCCAGTGGCCTATGCAGGGATCGAACCAGCAACCTTGGTGTTATGAGCACTCCACTCTAACCAACTGAGCTAACTGGCCACCCGTCAGAGTTCTCTGTTCTCTAAGTCTCTGTTCCTTATTCAGAGTCCAAGTTTAGCCTTTGTCCAATTCTGCTACTTTAATGGGGAATGGAACAAAAAGCAGGCCTTAATACTTAATACTCATTTTCTTAATACTTAATACTCATAAATCTTAATACTCATTTTCAAATGGATTCAGATATGTCATTTAGGTCACGTGGCTTCCCCTCCTCCTAGTTACTCCATGCAGTGGAACCTGTATTAGTGTGGCATCTTGTGCTAGTATGTTGGCATTATTTTGTAAATTATTCACTCTGCCATGTTTCTTCATGAAGACAAGGTCATCTTCTGGCTATATTTTATTAGCCCATTTTCCTCTTCTTGCCTTCTGTACTCTTCTTTGTAACTTCTCTGTCCTTTCTTTTTCGGAAGGCAGGTTAGAAGGGATGGTCCGCGGGCCTGTACTGGGTGTTATTTGCCAAGCCCAGCTTTCGTCCTTTCTCACTCAGAAATCCCATTTGCTCGTCACAGTGATTCTGTTGAGATAATGCCATTTCAACCTCATTTGAGATGAGGAAACCGAGGCACAAATTTTAAGTAGCAGAGTCTGAACTGGGACTGGGAAAGCGGCTTGGTGTGTCATTAGGAGCAGATCTGGCGCCGGGCTGTCTGGGGTTGAATCTGGGCCTCACTGCTCACCAGCTGCGTGACACCCCTCTCTGTCTGCTGGTTTCCTCATAGGGATGATAACAGTCTATCTTACAGGGTTGGAATACGGAATGAGTTAGTCAATTATTTGTAATGCACTTAAATAGTGCCTGGCATTGAGCAAGTGCCATATAAGTGTTTTAAAAGTAAATAAACTGAAGGCTGTCTGACTCCAAAGCCGGTAATGGTGGAATTTCAGGCCTGCTTTTTGTTCCATTCCCCATTAAAGTAGCAGAATTGGACAAAGGCTAAACTTGGACTCTGAACAGGGAACAGAGACTTAGCTGCTAAGGCACCCACGGACTTCCGGCCCGTCCTACCCCTCTTGCCAGCAGCCATTCTAAAACATGAATCCATTTGCTTTAAGTTAGCTAAGAGTATTGCGCTATTACATACTCAGGGCTGGGCTCACCGGTGAATGCCCATTCAACAAATGCCCACTGTGGTCTGGCATTTACCCCCCTCCCCCTTTCCTGGGCACCTGGCATGCCTCTCCCATGCTATCATGGTTCTTTCCTCACACACTCCAGTTATATTGGCCTTCTGTGGGTTCCTTGACTTCCATCAAGCTCATTCCTACCTGAAAGCCTTTGCACCCATCTGGAAATATTTCTCCAGATTGCTGCATGGTTAACATCTTTCCCATTCATGTCACCTCACCACATCATCTTGTCAGAAAAACCTTCCTTGATCATCAGCTGGGCTCTCATGCAAAACAGAGGTATGCTCAAATAGGGGTGGCTGAGAAGAGTTTATTAAAGAGACCATTAGGAGGAAGTGGGCAGGGTGGGGAAACCAGAGTGGGATGGGGAAGCCTTTACCATGGCCAGGCCTAGGGAAGTGGGGTGTGACAAGAGGAGACAGGGAACCTTCAGGGAACCCCAAAGAGGCCCCAGACAGAGCTGCACGCAGCCTTTAGCAGAGTGGTGCAGCCAGTCCCCTGAGTTTTGCAGTAAGGGGCAGCATAAATACCCTACTCCGCTCTCCTCCACTGGCCTGACCTCCTGCCTTCCTCCCATTAATGGAACCTGGACACACAGATTAGTCCCCCAGGTGGAGGGTGGGGAGGTAATGGAAGTTAGCCAACACTCTCTTCCCAGGTCATAGTTTATCTTCTCGTCTACTCTTATCTTCTTAATATATATCACTCTCCACAATTACCTTCTTTTGTTTAACATGTTTATTGTTTGCCCCGCCCCTCCCATACAATGTAATTTTTGTATTTTGAAGGCTAGGACTTACAGTTGTTTTCTTGTTTCGTTTCTTTTTTCATCTCGGGGTCCTCAGCAACTACCTCAGTGCCTGACACATACATAGTAGGTGCACAATAAATATGGGTTGAATTCATTAACAGACAGGGACACAGGTAGCTTGCCTGGAGAGACAAAGGTTTTCTGGGTCTTTCTTTTTTTCCTACAAAAAGGTCAGTTGACTGAACACACTCCCTGGTGCCAGGTCAGAGGGCTGCCCCTATTGCCACTTCTGCAGCTGGAGGGACAGCAGGTGCGGCCCGGTCACCACCCGCGCGACCTCCCCCTGCCTCGCTGCGGCAGCGCCAGCTCCCGGGGGACGTGTGCGCCCAGGTTGGCGCGCGCCTCCCAGGTGCGGCCCGACCCACCCGCCCCTCCGCAAGCAGCCCGGCGCGGAGACGTGCGGGGCAGCTGGCCGAGGCCCTCTCCTGGCCTGTGGGCAGGGAGGGAGACACCCAGCGCTCACTCTTGGTTATTTTTAGTCGGTAGCGGACACTTTCCCTCTCCGCCACCCCCCAGCAGGGGCGGAGCGGCCAGAGAAGGTGGGGAGGAGAGGGAGCTCCCGGCGCCTCCGCGCTCGCTCTCGCCCGGGACCCACAGCGCGGCCGAGCCCGGGCGGTGCTGGGAACAGCTGCCGCGGCGTCCTCCCGCAGCAAGCGCGGCGCTCCGCCGGGACCTGCGCCGGCGGGGGAGGGGCAGGCCGGGGAGGAGAGCGAGCGGGCGGGAAGGGGCGGGGAGCGCGCTTCGGCGGCAGCGGCGGCGGCGGCGGCCGTCCTCATCCCGGCGGCCCAGTACCCGAGTGGACGCGGGGCTTCGCAAATGGCTTGTCCCGCTCTCGGTCTGGAAGCTCTTCAGCCCCTGCAGCCTGAGCCGCCCCCCGAGCCCGCCTTCTCCGAGGCGCAGAAGTGGATCGAGGTAGGTGCCCGTGGCTAGCGGGCGGTCT